AAACCCTCAAAGTACACCCTGTAGGGAGTAAAACTCTAACACAGAAAAAGACCTGTCTGTCTATGCTGCCCCAGAACGACGGCCACTGGGCTCACAGGGAGGGGGGGGGCAGGAGCTCCAACAAGGCGTTTAGGACAGAGAGTGAATACACATACTATACAGAGATGCTGTATGAGAAACCAATGTGAGTTTGGAACATTGCACAATATAAATCTATTTTAGTAGACCTCAACAATGGAATTATGATCAGTAGAAATGGCCATGACATGGGACCTTTAAGCTTTAATGAATGAGATACTTTTAGTTTGGGGAAGTGTGATAGGGAATATGAACTGATGATGTGCAGAGTAAAGTAACCACTCCTTACCAGTTTGTCATTGGAGAACGTGCTCTTCATCATCGCACTGAAACCGCTCTGAAAAAACAGACCAAAGCCTTAATCTTCATCTTAATGTCACAGATAAAAAAATATCAAAAAACTGAGCCAATTGCAATATTCCAAAGCTGATTTTACCAAAATAACAACTGAACGAGATGAAGTTATTCCACCGTAACAACCCACCTGCTTGGCTTTAGGCTTCTCTGCAGTATTCTCATTTGAGTCTCCTGAGAGCTCAGTCTTTTCTTTATCCTGTCACAACACAATGCACATTACCACGTCATTAAACTCAAAACATGGCCGAGTGTAGGGCTGTGCGATTATGGCAAAAATCATAATCACGATTATTTTTGTCAATTATTTATATCACGATTATTAAAAACGATTATCCATTTACTTTGAAAACATCCATTTATTGAAAAAAAGAAGAAGTTTTTAACAGTTGATTACCCTGAACTTTAAGTATAATTCAACTGAAAAACGAATTAAAAAAAAATAGTTCAAAAAAAAAAATAACTACATTTTATTTATGTTTAAATAAAAATAATATTTGTTTTATTTCGATTACGTTGTTTTCGTAATCGTTGCAAGCCAAAATCGTAATCGAGATTAAAGTAGGATTAATTGCACAGCCCTACTCATATCACTAACTGTGTATTCTGTTAAGTGCAAGTTGATCTCTTACCTTTGAAGGCTTCTCTATGAGGCTGTCACAGCTGGCAGAGAGTTCACTATCCGCGGTCAAATCCTCCTGAGCAGAGGGATGAAGCATACATCCAGAATGTAACAACCAGGAGGAGAAATGTACTCGAGTGTTTTTGACTTCAAAGTGAAATATCCACCGTGTAACGAAACGACTGCAAAATATTCCCTAAATTGAGTATTTTTTGGATTGAAAAACCTTTTTATTGACAAACTTGACTTTTCTTACCTTAGACTGAGATCTGGCAACTTTCTTTCTGAACACTCCACTGAAGATTCCTCCTTTCTCCTGAGGAAAGAATAAAGCCAACATTCAATATGACGACATTGCTTGCTATGTTTCTTTCTTGCAGTGACTGCAGTTTTAACAAAGCTCACCTTAGTGCTCTCGGAAAGATTGCCGTTGCTTCCCGAGAGCTCGCTGGGATCAGACAAATCATCCTGAAGGCAAGAAACACATTAATAAATCTGTATTAAACCTGTTCTTATGATTTATAGTAACAAGGTGTTTCAGCGAATAAGCTCCAGTAATACCCTCACCTGAGATGGTGTCCTCTTTCCTAAGGGCTTTGGTGATTTTTTAAACATCCCGGTGAACTTCCCTCCTGTCTCCTGGAGTACAAAGGTCACATGGAAATGGTTTAAATGTTACCCATAATGCAGTCATTTATCTCACCTGTCACAATACACACACACTTTTTTACTTCTTTGACCGAAGACTCACCTTAGTGTTGCTGTTCACAGACAGATTGTCTTTGCTTCCTGAGAGCTCGCTGGGGGCAGACAAATCCTCCTGAACGCAATAAAAACAATACATTACTGAATATATTCATAACTTGCTTTGGTTTTAACACAGGTCAAATACAACAATGTAAAAGTATCACCTGAGATTCTGTCCTTGCTGCAGGAGGCTTTGGTGGTTTTTTAAACATCCCACTGAACACCCCTCCGCTCTCCTGGAGAAAAATAAAAATCACATGAATGGTTTGGAACATGTTTCCCTTTATGCAGTGATTTAGCAAACGGGCTTTATGTTCTGCCAAATGCTGACGCAGTCCTTACCTTAGTGTTGCTGTTCACAGACAGGTTGTCTTCGCTGCCTGACAGCTCGCTGGGTGCAGACAAATCCTCCTGAAACAAAGGTTACACAAGTTATTATCATCTCTTCAAATGTAACCCAGTGGGAACATTTAGACGCACTGCTCTCACCTGAGATTGTGTCTTCGCTCCAGAAGGCTTTGGTGGTTTTTTAAACATCCCACTGAACATCCCTCCGCTCTCCTGGAGAAAGAACAATTCACATGATAATGGTTTAAAATTCGCCTTTAATGAAGGAATGAAGTTTTCCTCTGGTTTCTCAAAGCTCACCTTAGTGTTGCTGTTCACAGACAGATTGTCTTTGCTTCCTGAGAGCTCGCTGGGTGCAGACAAATCCTCCTGAAGGCAATAAAAACAATACAGATATATTCATAATTTGATTTTAATTTAGCACAGGTAGAAATGGGAGTTATGAAATGCCACGCTCTCACCTGTGATTGTGCTGCAGAAGGCTTTGGTGATTTTTTAAACATCCCAGTGAACACCCCTCCTGTCTCCTGGAGAAAATAAACCACATGCTAATTACCACACTCGTATATTTAAGCAATAGCTCACGACAGGCCGTGGTATATGCTCATTATATCACAGCTAAGGGGCGTGGTTCGGCCACGCCCCT